TGGAAAGTCTTGTGAATTACTTTTGTGGTTGAGACTTAAGCTTCTTGCAACCACAACAATGCTAACAACACCTGGCTGCTTGGGGGTCACCAACAATGCATTTTATTTGATAATTTCTGCTGGCTTCCAGTATATGGAGTACCATTTAACTAAGACAGTAAGACTTTGTTCTTAATTTTTGAAAGTTTTCGTGAGGCTAAGACACTTAATATGAATGTTTTGCCCCTGGATGCTGCACAGCATCTAGTCACATGATGCTACAGACTGCTAATTAAAACAGTGGAAGCTTCGAGCATCCGACATCCTTTCTGTACTGGATGTGCAAATCATTATACCGTTAAGGTGCATTAAAACAGTGGAAGCTTCGAGCATCCAACATCCTTTCTGGATGTGCAAATCATTACGCCGTTAAGGTGTGTTGAGCACTTTTGACAGAGAAGTTACATGGAACGCGACAACGTTTATGAAAGTAAGTGATAGCAGAAATTGGTGACAGTTCCCATTTCTGTGGCTGGTGGAAATACACCAAAAACAGAAATAAACTGAAAGCAGAAGCAGTTAGGAATCTTGTGATGTTTTATCATCATCTCAGATTGAAATATGTTTCAAGACGGATGAATTTTTGTTTATGTTCAGAGAGGGCATGAGGACAGGGTGGTGGTGGTGGTGGTGCTTCAAAATGGGTATAGCCAGGGAGACAACAGTGAAGCAGAAATGAAGTGGAATAGAATTTAGGACACCGCTTTTTTTTATTATTATTATTTTCCTACTATTCGTGACCAGTCCAGTGCAGCAAAGCTTAGCAAATTTTCCTGCAAGAAGTATTGTAACCACAGTCTTTATTATTTTAATGTTAATTTTTTGTTTGGGCGAAAGTTGAGATAGTTGTGAAAAAAACATGTAAAATGCAACTTGTAAAATATTTAGTATCTTTTCATAATTTTTGTCTTTATCTATTTTTTGAAAATTTTACCAGTTAAACCAAACCCTAATATTGACTTCATTAAAACTGATTGGGTACAGACAACTCAGTAGGATAAAATAAAACATTGTTAAAACACATTCGCGCGCACACACAGACAAGATGACTGCAAAGGTTAATACTTCTTCCTATTTAAAAAGCAGAGTAATAATGGCTTCTGCATAAGGAAAACACGGATGTCTGAAAAATATTGTCAGTTCTGGATCTGACTTACATTGAAGTTCTTTGTTACTACAGGAAGTGAGAATGTTGTAATTCCAGTTTTGATACTGAGCTTTATGTGCTTCTGCTTGCATTGCACTGTAATTGTATATAGAATCTTTAAGTATGAGATGGGAATTAGCTACAGAAGTAGCAAGAAAGGCATGAAAGAAAATTAGACGTTTGTGAGGGGCAGTAGGGGAGTTGGTGTGCCAGGACAAAGAAGTATATACGTATATAAAAATAGTTTTTTCCGTCTCTGTGTACAGTTGTCAGTAACGAATTTATCAAGAATATCGTACCAGTTCTCGAGGGCTCTGATGATGGTATATTGCAGATTACATGGTGATGGGCAAAATGCAGAATTAAATGACGTGATGAATTTCAAGGGATACTCGGTTTTGTTGGCGGTATTGGCCCCACCTGTTTCAACAGTACTGTATGAATAAATGAAAGAGTACAGTTATTTTTATTCATATTCATGCTGATATTTCTTGCCAGATGAAGCGTGTATAATGCTGGGTAATATATTTTCCTTTGCAAGGCAAGTCTTAACCCCATCAAATTCTTATTTTCATCAATCATCTTTGCAGGTATACCAAGAGAGTTGACTCGTCAGTGATTGCAGATGCTACTAGGTCCAGTACTTATACTCCTCAGTGGAATATAATGCACATTTCTTCTAAATTTTTAATCTTCAATGGCTAAAGATTAACTGGAGGTTAATAATAACCTCCCACTTTAGTAGTCAGTTGTTTACCAACAGTTATTGTCACAATAACTTCGGTCCATTAAAATTCTTACTAAATCGTGTTATAAAAAAATTTCTAGTATGAAATTAACTAGTAAACATTTTGCATCAGATTGGGTTATCAGAGAAGAATACTCAAAATTCTTTGGTGTTATATTTTGTACAACTAAACACTGATGGCAGTAAAATTATTTGTTACATAATATAGTTAAACCTAAATGAATGGAGTGGTTATGTTAGTTGCCAAAAATTCATTGTTTACATGTGGGATGAATATTATAAATGAAAATATGCCATAATGTGTAATGACCCATTGTACTGGTAGAAGGGTGTGACTTGTAAACATTACATTAGATGTGCTGTAAATATATTCAGTTAGTGCAGTCACTGCATTTTAATGAACTTTTCCTCGCCTTAGTAGAGTGCTCGTACTGTGGCACCCAGACCAAAACTGTCAGTTGGGTTGCCCCCTTGATAGACCTTTTATTGTTCAGAAATTAACGTATAGAATTTGATATGAACATATCTGCTAATATAGAAAAAAAATCAGCTGAATGATCTCTTTATGTTGTGTTATTTGCATGGATTGTAGTAGATGGAATCTTGTATGAATTTTTGGGAAAAGAAATGCTCTTTAAACCAAACATGATTTGTGTATTGCTTGAACAAGCCTTTATCCTTTCCAGAAGCAAATCTGATGGCATTAATTCTTTAGTTTTGTCAGTTCATACGTAGAAATGGTACGTTCTTGGTATTATCAGTGGTGCTGATAAAGTTATAAAATTATGTCGTACTCAATGAACGGAGGTTCATTTTTGGACGTGAATAAGGTTTGATGTACCAGGGTTTTTTCTTAGAAAGAGTCTTATTTGAATACAAGTTGCAGCTCAAAGAATTCTGATATTTTAATGCTCTTTTTCATACCTAATATGTCCATGTCTATAAATATATAAAGAACTCTCGTGGAATATCCTATTCATTTTGGCTTGCAGAGGATTAATCTTCAAATTATATTTAAGGAAATTCTGAATTACTTTCTGGAATTCAAAATCCTACACGGTTTTCTTGTACTGTTTATGGAAAAACATTCGGAAGCAAAACTTGAGTATTGATGCTTTAGTTTTATCATCTTATCATCTGTAGGTCTCAACACATGACAGTTTCACATTCTTCCAATCTTTATTTGAAAGTGCAGTACAGTTCTGTAGCTTATTGACTATGTGGGACAGTTCAATGTTTTATTTTGCATGAATGTTTGGACTCTAAAGATCAAAAGCTTTAATAAATTCCATAAAATTTTCAGCTTATCATCAGTCCAGTAAGGCTACAAATTTTAGAAAGTGAAACGCGTGATTCATTAATGCAGAAATTTTTGTACGCACATTATAGTCATTTAATAAAGTACTCATGAAAATATTTGGACATAAAAAGAGTGTAGAAGCAGTTTAATGTACCACATAACAAAAACCTTTATGATTTATACAAGTCACTAGCGTTGTTTAGTGTAATCATGGCGAAGCGATGGACATTGTTTGTGGCTGTGGTGAGGGAGATACCTGAATTTTTGTGGAGGAACTTGGTGGGAAATATTCATTTTAAGGCAAGAAAGACGTGGGAGGATGACATTGAAATGTAACGTAGAGAGACAGGTTATGAGAACGGAAGTTGGCATGGTTGGCATTTGTATTACGGACATTGGATCTTTGGGTTGTGCTACCACAGTGTTATTTTAATTCTGTTGAGATGCGTCCTTTCCCCTGTTAACATGAATGGTGGTGATAATGTTTGTTGCTGACGAGCATTTTAGGCTAGCCGATAGGCTGTAAGCAGAGCGTTGCACACTGCCACCCCAACAAAGCTTTCTGTAGTGTCAGTATAGGAAAGTTTTTGAATTTCTGAATTCAGGATCCTATCATGTGTTTGGATTTGTTTAGCTGGAATTAAATTGATTCCTGGATATTTATAAGTAGGTATGGACTGTCAGTTGGCAATCTGCATGAATGTTGAGTAGCTTACTGTTGCAAAGTTTTTCATCTATTCACAGTACTGTGGTGGTTTGTGTCTTATCTAAAATTCATTAATTCTTCTGTAAATGTATTTTATAATTGTCTTACTATTTGTCGTCATCTCATTGACTTTGTGTTTTGTGTAGTCCCTCTTGGCTAGTTTCACACACAATTATCTGTCTCTCTCTGCTTCTTTGCTTCTTGTAAATGAGCAGTTGTTTAATTTTTGCCCATTTTTTTAATTTTGGTTATCTAGAGCATTTGTGATGAGTTTTCAGGTTGTTATGGTAATGAGTAGGGAGATGACTGTCTTCTGGCATGTTGTCTGGTAGAAGTTTGGCGACATTTCGGAGATGTCTGATGTCTCCGTCATCATCAGGGTGATGATCGAGGCAGCGAGATGTCAATAAACTTCTACCAGACAACGTGGCGTAACATCTGAAGCAATAGTCATCTGTATAAGCATTCTTGATACAACTGTGTTTTATTCTGCAATAATTGCAGTATTTGTATTCCTTTTGTCTGAAAGTTTTGCATAATTACAGATACTTTGTTTGGTTGTATTAGTTTCTGTATTTTCTAATAGACCGAAGTTGTGAAAGTATTGATCTATGATATAATAAATTCTTCTCGATCTACCGGCCGTGTAAGGTGGCTTATTGAAGAAAACACCAACATTTGAAGAAGAATTTATTATACTTAGTCGCTGTGAAAGCTTCAGATCATATATTGATCTCTGATGTTGCATTTTTATTTGATTTAAGTTTTTTTATTGCTCGCGTGCCTGTTTTTTTACCGAGTTTTACCCTGAATTTTGCACTCACTAATAATTACAGTTGAACCAACAAAAGGTGTAATATTCATTACTCGAATATCAGGTTTTATCAAATGAAATGTGACAATCTGATCGTGTGTTATCACATCAGGAGAAGTTCAAGTGTGCCTGTGCATATTGCAATGTAGAATGTGGTTTAGAAGCTTTTTCTTAGGATGTGGTAGAGTCCACTGTCTTAACCCTTTAACACTACTAATATTGTGTGAATCTCTTTTTTTTTAAAAAAAACTGAAAATGTCCTCCTGTTTGACTGCGGCTTTTAAATCCAGCAATGTCTTCGCATACTGCGTATGAAACTGATCAGATGCATTTCTAATTCCTCACATTTGTTATCCTCTGTATCAATTCAGTTGGGGCGTACGCATTTACAGTAGTAATATTTCATATTGAACCAATTACCTTGCATTCTGTTTTTACTTAACGTCTCTTCAGTAGCATAAATAAATAGTTCTCTTTTCATGGCCACCGCCATGAGGCAATCTAACCCCTTGTAGCCATGCTGTGATGCCCTGCGATTTCCAGGCACATGTGTAAAGGTGATTCAGGATTGGTTGCCATATTCTGCAGGTGCAGTAATCGAATGATTCTGAGTAAGAAAGTTAAAGTCCTAGGAGCATGGGTCCTGTTCAGAAAGGTTGAATAGTCGTGGAACCAGAATTAAGGAGTTCAAATAAAAACTCGGTGTTACTTAATATTAAAAAGACATTAGAAAAACTGTTTGCTGTGTCTATCTGGGATTTGAGTGCACATTTGAGCGTGGTATATTTTTGTATATTACACTGCGGCATTTTGTTGAAATGTTTTCCGACGCAGTACAAAGAAGTAGCACTCGTTCTGCCTCATCATACCTACTCGGTTGTGCTTTCGACTAGAATCCCGCGTATCTTCGCGACGTATTAACACTCTCCATGTAATGAGATGTGCGTTTTCGGTCTCCTGTGACGGCAAAGGAGTTTTTTTTTCCTTTCTCGAAGACTTTTCAGTTTGCAGGTTTGGAATACATTGGGTTTTCTGCTCTGAACCCAACAGTGATTCAAGTGTGTAGGGACTGCGCTGTGAATTGAACAGCCTGTGTTTATATCTCGTGTTGTTTCAGCCCACTTTTTCCCTCTTTGAAAGCTTCCTCAACGGCTTCTTCCGGTTTTGTCTTTCAGTCGGTGTCAGACCAGTGACTGTAGTATGTGACTTCAGTCACTGGATGGGCAGGGTTCGATCACCGGCAGAGGCAAACGATTTTTTCCGTTAGCCTTTGCGTCCCGACAATCGTTTTGTTGATCACGTCTGATTCCAAAAAAGACGTCCATGATATATCCATCACTGGTACTTGGATATGTCCATTTTAATCTACTTGATATCTTCAGACAAAATGCAGGCTTATACTTCCAACCATTGAGACTGATTGCCACGAAATTTCGTACGAATGTTATGCCATTGGATTCCGCTGTTTTGACGTGATTAACAAGTTTTTCTGAAAAAGAAAATTATAGCTACTAATACCACCACTACAGACAGTAATAATAATGCAGCAGTCAGCAACATTTACATTTGCGAAGAATAAAACGATTTTGACTTGGACAGAATTCAGTCTCACGTCCGTCCAACATGCTAACCCATGAGATTCATGCGTCATAAACTTATTATCAAAATATGGCATTGCGTATGGAATTTGTCGTCCCTTGTGCATGTCCTCCAGTTCACCGCATTCCGTGCTTTCGCCCCCCTGTCCGTCCATTAAAATTTTCTTCATTTCGGTATCACTCAGTTATTTGGTTTTCTCCTGAAAGTAATAACTGATATTAAAACATGTTCTTACTGTTGAATAAAATTTAAAGACTGGATTGTGTTTTACTGTGCGTCAGTTTCTGTCTTCAAGTACCTTGAACTTTAGAGTTCCTGATTGCCTGGAGACTGTATGACCACAAAATAAGCAGCCCTCGTCCATCCACAGTCTGATCCAGTAGACTCGCGTAAGCAGGAAACCTCGTAATACGATTCATGTTATCCCATATCAGTCGGTGCGTTCGATATATTTCGTGTTGTGTAGACCTCATCTGCGCATGCTCCATGTATTCCCTTCTCTTTTAAGGGGTTGGTTGAAATCAGATGACGGTAGCATGGGATGGGGGTAGGTTTGGGGCGAAAGAGACCAGAGCAGAGCAGCGCGGGCAACAGTAGTCACTGGGGCTGGATGCCAGAGGGACGCCATGGTCACTCGGACAGATTCAAACCAAGTTACCGCAGCCTCAGGGCCTACGGACGAACGTGGAGGTCTTACCAACTGCTGGCATATAGAGGAAATGTGAGGCCACGCCCCCTCCTCGTTATCATCAACTCTTCTTCGGTCTTCGGCAGCAAGCTCCATCGTGTCGCCAGCACCAACAGCTGCGGTCCCTGCAGCAGCCACAGCTGGTCCAGTTGTGGCCACCTTCACACAGTCTTTGTCATTATCTCTGTCGCCACCCTTCCATCGGCGTCGCGGGATGCCGGCATACAGGGGCGCTTATCTCAGTTTGTAAGTAGGAAGTTGATGTTCGTGTGTTTGACAGGAGCTACGAAACGTCGACGAGATCTCAGTTTCGGTTTTGTGTGGTTTGAAAGTGATGCCCCTCACGTGTCATTTGTTGGTACACTCCGTTAACTGTCATGAATTTATCGATGACGTACAAAACAATACGTTTTTAAGTTTTAATAAATCTTCCTTTGATTTCCACGTCTGTTCTATGACGCGAGAAGTGACAAGGATGGACTTTCGAGGGCGCCCATTTAATGAGTCGTCTCCCAAAAAAAATAAAAGACGCAGTTAGTGTTTATAACACTCTGGAACAGAGTGTATGCTGGTAAAGGGATTTTGGGCAAGGGAGTGAATTTTTGTACTTTTAACCAGAGAACAACGAAGAATCTAACACACATGTCCATTAGATTCATGGCGTAGATCTATTTACCAGTTTATAGGGTATGTACTTCCATGTACCCGAGACAGATCTTGTCCTTAAGGTTCATAGTGCAGCAGCTATTTCCGGAATACGTATTGTTTTTAACACGTTCTACATGTATTATATAATTTTATTATTATTTGTTCTCTTATGTTC